CGTATCATTTCCAACGTGGGCACCAAATTTTCTTTATAAAATCCGTATATTATACGACGAATATCTTCCTGAAAACCCACGTCAATTCTTTTTAATTTTTGCCCTATGCGCTTACTGTGGAAGGAATGGTTGACTACATCTCCCCTTTTTATAACCCGATAAATAGTAGACCGACTGATTTTTGTCAGGATACAAATTCTGTTTAAAATTTGATTTTGCGAGGAATCTGGATTTTCGTTTTTCAGACAATCATACATATTTAGGATTACTCTTTGGGTCTGTTCCTCTAAATCTTTATGAAAGAATTCTGCCTGCACAGGTTCATCAACCATCTCCTCGTGGCTTGGAGCATTTTCCCAAGGTCTCCAAAGAGCCATATTTAGGACACACAAGAACAATCAACACAACAATTAAATCAACAAGTAAACTGAGTATTCAAAAGTCAAAAACACACAAACTAATAAAATCTATGAAAAAACACAGACAGACTAAAGAAAACACGTTTATTCACCGCTACACGGCACTGGCTAAACTGTTTCAATTTTCAGTAGCCACCTGCACTTGTTCGGAGCTCTGAAATACACGCTTTCTCATTGGCTATGTCCACGCATAGGCGTGCTTTACTCCACGTGAACCGGTGAAACTGCCTTTGATCCTATACGGGGGATATTTGCTGCGAAATTTGGCGATCTTTGCAGCAACAGAGCGTGTTAAATATAGATATATAAAACGCACCCGGTATTTCACAGAGTTTCAAGTGACTTCAGATAAAGTATACATAAGCGCCATATCCGAAGTCGTTCTACAATAATTGTAGGACGATTTGATGGCCTCCTTGATTTTCATAGTCTTTTCTCTCCTTCAGAAAGGCTTGGGTATTCTATGTTTTCTTTTTGAATTGCAAGAAATTTCAAGCTGATATAAATCAAAAGCGTGATCAGTTTGATGCAAAAAGATATTGGTAACATAACCTCAAAATAGAGCGCTGACACGGAACAGTAGAAAACTATGAAAATCAAGAAGGCCATAAAGGCGTGCCACAATTTTAGGAACGACTGACGTGACGATACGGCCCTAAGGATGTTTTTCTCTTTAGTAATGTTACGACCATGGACGACGTACTCCAATGTAAAGTGTGCAGGTGCACGTTGTAAAGGCGGTTGAGCCGGCCGGACCGAAAGAAACCTCTTTGACTAGCGCGCACCGCCGCTCCTACAATCCAAGGAAAATAAGAATAAATTTATACGAGAGCGCCGAAGGGAAGGTAGGATCCAGTTCAATATTGAGCCATGAAGCCAGACGAATAACTACTCGCATGCGCACTCAAGTTACTTTTATACGGTGTGCGCCTATAGGAAATGCCTCTTAAACATTCAGTTCAAAAGTAATGTCCGTGAATGCTATTTCTGCCTTCAATCCATGCTTGCTTGGGCTACTTGGAGAATTATTCTTCCAAAGGACGAAATGATGACTTCAAGATGTCCGAATGGTCATCCATCCTTCAAAAGTGATGCACGAAATTTGAGCAGCGTTTTAGCGATCATCAATCGAATATTGTATATCACTTCTAAACGCATACCGTACAGATCATTTACGGTTGAGGTCGGCGTTTCAATGTGTACGAGAGAGAGAAGCATGAAAGCATGTGCTAGAAAGAGTACGCGCCACAGTAATTACCACGTTGCCTGCCAAAGACAACGAGGTAGGTCACGGAGCACTCTTTCTAACATACGTGATGCATCTCTCGTTCTCGTGAAACCCGGTCGACGTGAACCATGAATGATTGGTACGGTATACAGAGAAATCCTTATACCACTAACGACGTAATGTGTACGAGATAGAATCGCGAGAAGTGTGCAATGCGTATGTTAGAGAAGAGAAGAACTATCTGTAGACAATTGTTTAAAGACCTTGATATTTTAACATTCGTACCGTTGCACATTTTCCAGTTCTTGTCATATGTTAAAACCAACATAACATCTTTCAAAACATTAAACAAGATAAAAAAAAATTGAAATCAGCTACTTGAAACACCCTCACATATACTGTCCACCACGGAACATTCATAGGCATCAAGATGTTCAATAAGTTGCCTGATAATATTATAAACCTCCCTATTATCAGCTTTAAAATAACTGTAAAACAAAAAATGTTGATAAGAAAAGTAGTTTATACTATGCAGATTTTAACTTAAAGTATCTGTGATATATATTTTGTGAGCGCGTTGTTCTAATCCTAGGAATTTCATGAGAATTTTAATGTTTTTATTGTACAAGGGCGGTTCAATAAGTGCACGTGTTTGACGACAGAGGGCGTTCCTGAGAGAAGTTAATGTTATCTATCAAACGACGGCACAGCAAATTTCAGACTAATTGATAGGTCAGTTTGGATTTGGCAACCATTCGAGTAACACGTGTTTCGTGATTTTCGCTAAGATGAAAAAAGAGCAGTATCGTTCGGTAATTCGCTTTTTGTTTTTGGATGGGAAAAAATGCGAGGAGATAAAAGCAAAGTTGGATGCTGTTTATGGGGGCACTTCGCCATCTATGACCACAGTTAGATATTATTGGTTCAACGAATTTAAACGTGGGCGAACATCCGATTTTGATGAGGATCGACCAGGACGCCCGGCAGACGTGGTTACCGAGGAAATCATTCAAAAAGTCCACGACATGATTCTCGCTGATCGACGAACAAAAGTTCGCGAAGTAGCAGAGGCCCTAGGTGTGTCGACCGGCACGGGTATCATGTAAAAAACCTACAAAACGTCAAAAAAAACTATAAGATGTCAACTTGCAGACTAGGTAGTTTTTAAGGCGCAAGTAGTCATTCCACATTTGCTCACTAGGATCGTTGTGAACGTCCATCTATGGAGGAATCACTCAACTAAACACGCATTATTGGTTGCATAGTTTTGTGTGGCTGAGTCATCCGTGACTGTAGTTTTTATCTCAGAAGGAAGTTGGTTGAATAGCAAGATCGCATCTGGATGATTATGTGTATTGGTCTGCATGTGTATAAAATCAGTGATATTTGCTGTATGAGAAAATATGCGCTTTCTGAAGAGAGGTTATGTTCAAAGTTATAAATTACGGAAAACTGAGGAGAATTACTTAAAAACATCACCCCGCTCGCGTTGTGTCTAATTACTGTTAGCATGTATATGGCTTGTAATTCGACCGTGTACAGTGAATATAATTATTTCTTATCTCTCTCATTTTTTAAATTCAGCAAATTTGTATATGTAATTTCCAAAATGAATAAGAAAAGGTGGATGCGCAACTAATTTCTAGCTTTGAATCTCAATTAAGTGTATTTGAGACAAGCACCCAATGTAATTATCATCAACACATACAACTTACAGCTTAGACCTCCAGTAATGCCATCTCAGAAGCAGATTTTACATCACATCAAAGCCAAAGATTGATAACAAGCCTCATGACGTTTAGGCAACACGTACAGCTAAGTGCTAAGTTAATATCTTGTAGAAAAACCTACATAACGTCAAAAAAAACTAGAAAATGTCAAAAAAAATCGGCATAATGTCACTTTTGAAGATACGTGATACCCGTGGGGAACGGCAATCAATATTTTACATGACAAGTTGGCTATGAAAAAATTGTCGGCCCGATGGGTGCCGCGATTGCTCACGGTGGACAACAAGCGGATGAGGCTGTTAACTTCGAAGCAGTGTTTGGAGTAATTTAAGCGAAATCCGAAGGGGTTTTTTCGTCGAATTGTCACCGTCGATGAAACCTGAATTCATCATTACATACCAGAGGAAAAAATTTAGCGCGAACGAGGAAGTCATCGCCGAGACAGAGGCGTATTTTGGAGGGTCCGACAAATCCTGTTTTTTGAGGGATTGAAAAAAACTGCAGGAACGTTGGGAAAAGTGTATCTTTCTAAAAAGGGATTATGTTGCAAAATAAAAAGACATTTTTTGGAAAAAATTGTGTCTTCATTTCTAACATGGGTACTTATTGAAGCGCCCTCGTATTGTTGCCAATAACATGAACTGTTTTGGTATAATTATATGTGTATAATATTTAGTGTTTTTTTTTGTTACAAGTTGTAGGTTTACATGACATGTACCATACATACATTGTATGTCTACGGTGTTTATTCAAATAAATAAATAAATGGTAGCACCACGTTGTCTAGCAACCCGAGTCACGAGGCCACACTCTGAATTTTTTTTTGTGTTGCTCCATATGTGGAGATGTTTACAAAAATCGATTAAAATCGCTAATTTGTATAATCGATTTATGGAAAATTTATTGAAAAACGATTATGATTAAGGAAATCTATTATTATTCAACAGCCTCAGCTCCATAACTGACTTTAGAATATTTCAGAAGCTCCCTTGATGCATCCAACCCTTTCTCTGTATCAACGTCGGAGCGATTCATTTGTAACAAGCAAAAAGCAACTTCAGCATTCTCCGATATTCTTAGATCTGAACGTGGGTGGTAGCTATCGAACTTCTGTATTTTAACAACTGTGAACTTGGCTAGGAAAATGTTGACAAACAAAATGGCTTCAGTCTTGGCCCTGGTTAAAATCGTTTCGTCTCGATGTTATAGGTTGCTCTTTGCGACTTTTTTGAATTTATTTGAAGACGTTCAAAAAAGGACGGGCTACACTTATTATTGGGAAATAATCCACCCTACTTGTGCTGGAAATACAAATAGCATGTATACTTTTATTAGTATCAACGTTATCCACAGCAAAATTGCCAATGGTTGCACATTGATCTAAACTCGTAGGTGGTAGACGGTCTTTGACTGTCGTATGTGGAGGTACCACCCGGCGGATCTCGTAGGCGGGGCCAGAATGTGTGCATGAATCCGTGTGGCGTTCCCCCATTTCCCCTGTATCCCCCTATAGCTCCACGGTACCTCCTGGGTGTTTAGGCCTTAGGCCTTCGTTGCAGCTGGAGTATAAAAAAAACTAGTAATAAAACAAACATTCCTAATAATAATTTATTTGTTGTAGCCATAAAGGAATGTAAAAATATGACAAAAATATAAACATATAATGACATAATACAAACAGTAGTTGTTATAAAAAAAATATAAGACTATTCAAAAATGCATAGTTTCAGTTTAAGAGAACAGTTACATTTGAATGAAATTTGAAATAATCCTCAATGATATTAGTCATAAGGCATACTATTTGGAACAAAAAATAAATATATCGCATATAAAAAAGGTACATAACCCAAGCAAAAGGAACCAATAAAAATTTAAGTAGATCCAAAGCCAAAATAAACAAAAAATTCTTACACTAAAGAGGTAATAACGTCTCCATCACTTGTGAAAAATTTTTCGTTCATAATCGCTCGACCATTACATTTTCCATAATATTGGAATGGTCTTCATCAATAATGTAGCTCAAGGTTTCAAAAATTACAATTTCTTCCAATCCCTACGATCGTTCATTTGTTTGGGGAAATTGTATGTATAGTTTCATCCATTTAAAAACAGTTTATAATTTTCCAAGCCATCGCAAATATGTGCCTAAATAATGAAGTGTTACACCTTGCGGTGAATGTAAAACCAGACCACTATGAACAGCAGGAAATAAAAGCAGTGGAAAACAATCACCCCAAAACACACAAAGCGATTCATAGGTTTCATAGGTAGTTAAAAGGACCCTTGCGCGGAATATTCTTATCCCTCATAGGACGTATCAATTGCACGATTGATTGTTCAGGAATCCTAATTCCTCGTGTTTTCCTGACTGAATAGTTTCCGACCTCAACGTGAAGATGACAGCACTCGTAGATAGAAGCTAGTGAATTTCTATTGACCAAAGTTTGGAGTCTCAGTTGTTATGTATCTGTCGTTAGAGTGAGTTGATATGAGTATTTTTGTGAAAATGGACAAAATCGAGTATCGAGCTGTCATTAAATATTTGTTTTGAAAGGCAACACGCCTACGCGAATCAAAGGTAAGTTGGATTCTGTGTATGGGGACTCTGCACCATCATTTACCACAGCGAAATTTTCGGCAGCTGAATTTAAACGTGGCCGTAAGAGGTTGGGAGACGACGAACGTTCGGGACGTCCAAAAACTGCAACTAGCGACGAAAATATCGCCATAGGTCACCAAATGGTGCTGGACGACCGCCGAATTAAAGTGAGAGATATAGCAGAGGTTATGAGCGTGCTTGTCACATATTAAATCAACATTTAGGCATGAGAAAGCTGAGCGCGCGTTAGATGACGCGTGTGTTCACGAATGAACATTTCCAACGCTCTGTTGGCCAGTTTAGACGCAATAAATCCGAGTTTTGGCGCCGATTAATTACGGTATATTAAACTTGGTTACACCATTATATGCCCGAAACAAAAATACAGTCCAAACAGTGGACGTTGGGAAAGTGATGGCGACTGTTTTTTTGGGATAGTCACGGAGCTATTTTAATCGATTGTCTTCAAAAGGGAAAAACCATTACAAGACCATACTACGCATCATTGCTTGGCAGAGCTTACGGAAAAATGGCCACATTTGCAGAAAAAGAAATTCCTGTTTCACCAACATAACGCACCGTCTCACACCTCAGCGGCTGCCATGGCGAAAATCCACGAATTACGGCTTCAACTGCTCGACCATCCGCCTTACTCACCAGATCTAGCACCTGGCGACTTCTTTTAGTTCCCTCATCTAAAAATTGCGCTCGGAGGACAAAGATTTTCGTCAAATGCAGAGAAAAACGCCGAGTACTATTTACAGAGATGGGAGCATTGCTGGGAGAAGTATGTAGATTTACAAGGAGACTATGTTGAAAAATAAAAGAAAAATCAGAAAAAATGTCTTGTATCTTTTTTAGGTCGGAAACTTTTCAGACCCCCCTCGGAAATCAGCAACGTTCGTTCTATTGGAACATTCTGAAAATTTTGCATATTTTAGAGAACATTTCGGGTATTAAATGAGTAAAATGTATTTTGTCAACAAAAACTATAATACTTGTAATGTTTGTTATGGTTAGATACAGAGTATTTCACTCGAAACTCCACAAGCTTAGACCTTACAAATAGATTGGTATGAGACTACATGTGTGGACAAGGTCACAAAAACAAAACAGAACCACGTAAATTGCCTGCCTGCCAAACAGACCCGCCTGACTTCGGGAAGAACTTCGTACATCCAGAACTGGCCGATACGACCGCTCTTTTGTCTACAAGAGGAGACTGTCCCCACTTCGACTAACCTGAGGCAGTTCAAAAATCGGATTAACAAAATTTCTTTGGGATCCTCATAGCAGCCGCGGTGCCCCGGCATTTAGGCTTCTGCGTAAAAAAATCAACCCAGGGTAACAACAATTTTATCTTTCGCGACAAAAGGATTGCCGAACGAAAAGCATAAAAATGTGTAGTCGCGACGTGTTTATCTACCTAGCGTCCCACCATTGGCGTAGCTGCAGAGGGGGCTACAAATGCTGCAATTTTTAAAACATTCCCTTGTTTAAGTCGGCTGGTTTGAAGATATCGCGTTAATATACAGGATGTTCGAAAAATAGACGGAGATATTTCAGATGGTGATTCCTTGTTAAAAAATATGAAAAAAAGTTTATATAAACATGGGTCGGAAAGTGCAGAGATGTCAAGATACAGGGTGATAAATTTTTAAAAAAATATTTACTAGATTCTGTTGAAATTTGGCAATATTATTTGTTGTATCAATAGGCTATTTTTTATTTTTGTTTTCCAAGGCACTTTGATTGATTTTTTTAGCAAAAATAAATAAACCAATTTTGTCCAGTGACATGCAATCAAACGGTTTTCATTTTTTTTTCGAAAACGAAGTGAGATACGAAAAAAATACAAGGGACAAAGAAGTTATATTTTCAGATGCTTAATCAAACAGCAAATATTAAAGTTACCAAAAGTCAGTGGCGTACATTTTTTGCCAATAATATTCGCCAAGATGCCCCCCGGGACGCCACTGAACCTAATAATTTTAATCTATTTAGGGCTAAATCAACCTCTTAATACAACAAATGATATTGCCAAATTTCAACACAATCGAGTAAATATTTTTTGAAATATTAATAAAAAAGATTTTTTTTTTAATTTATCACCCTGTATCTTGAAAACTCTGCATTTCCGGACCCATGTTTATAGAAACTTTTTCCCATATTTTTTAGCAAGGAATCACCCTCTAAAACATTTCCGTCTATTTTTAGAACACCCTGTATGTTTCCAAAAGAGTAACTCTAATAAAATCATATTTTGGACAAAAGTTTATCGTTTAGTGCTTTTAGAATATACATATCTTTATAACGAAATACTATGGCGCAAAATCGAAAATAAACATTTCAAATCAAAATTCGGATAAGTCGATTCTTTATTTTTTTTTTTTAATATTTCACATCCAAGTAACTTTTTTGTTCAGAATGCCCCAAAAAACCTAAAAGCACTTTGACCGGAGCAAAAAAAAACAATTTTTGGGATTTGTTTAAAAAATGTTTGACACAAATTTGGTCGTGGATGCGGGACCCTTTTTGGATGAGATTATGTAAAAAATCCGAATCAGAATATTTTTGCGATCAGATGCAAAGATATTGCCCCGAGTAGTTCTATTTTGCTTTGTTACCCAATCAGAGTCACATTCGGAGTGAAACATCCTGTATATTTTCCAGCTCTAAAAAATGCCTCTCAGTATCTCCGGTAACGATACAGCTTCTTTTATCACAAATGTCACATCCAATCTAGATTAGCTTTTCCATTCGTAGAAAATCCGAGAAATAAAGACTCCTGTCAATCAGAACCTGATAAAATAAACAGCACGATAGATTCGGCAAGACTACGCAGCGAGAGGTCCCAATTTTTTCAACACTCTCAACCCCTGCTCCTCGTACTCCTGCTTGGACATCCAGAATTCTTCGCGGTCCTTCATGACCTCAGCAAGCACCGCGCCGCCGATGAAGACCATGTTTTTTCGACTCGGCGGATCCTCGATACGAATCTTGAATTTGTTCAAGGTCTTTACGTCATTCTTGAGTACCTGTTCTATGTACAGTTGTTTTATCTCGCGCTCTAATCGCGATGGAAGACCCGGGTACATGGTTGAGCCTCCTGACAAGACTATGTGCTTGTACAGTTCCGATCGCATGTCTATGTCTGCAGCCTGGAACGAAACAAATATGATAGACAGATAAATTACATTCAATTCTTTGTTATGTGGCAGTTTTTCTTATTAACGCCGCCAGAAAGCGTGAAATGGGCCTCGTCGGTCATCACAATTTGCCTCCAAAAATCAGATTCAGCATCAACTATGCGAGCGACTGTTTGGGCGTATTCCAAGCGACGTGGACGGTCAGTTGGCAATATTTTTTGTGTTAAGTGCACCTTATAAGGAAATAAATGCAAATCATCCTTCAAAATGCGCCGCAACGTGGTTCCACTGATGCCAAAATGCTGAGGGCGGTGACGATACGACACTTTTAGGTTCTGGGCAACGCTGTCTCTGACCGCTTCAACCAATTTCATTGGAACGTCTTGGTCGTTGATGAACGGTATGTTGACGAACTCCCACTGTCGCGTACTCAAGAAAATTCGAAACCAAACGACGGATAGTGTTGTCAGACGGTGCCTGTTTGCCACGATATTTTCGACGATATGCACGTTGCGTTAACAAAACTGAACGACGATTTTCAATGTACATTGTGACTATTTCGCCGCGTTGTTTTGGTGTAAAGCGATCCATGGCTAAAATTGTAGTAAATTGACGTTTCAGAAACACGTATAATCAAATCACTCGGTTGGTAAATATCAAAGTCATTCGATGTTTCAATACCGACATAAAAGATGGCGCACCCGGTAGTTATGCATCAATGTGATCACCTCAAACTTCAGCTTACTACCTTGATCAAATCTCCTTTTAAAAAATTCGTAGAGCGAGCTGGACATTGAAAAGCAATGCTTATATAAATAATAGGAGAGCCGGATTTGATTTTCAAGGAAAGCACAATTTCTTTTCGAATTAAGCTAGTATTTATATTTCAACATGAAGAGGAATAGTTGCGATTAAACATGAAATACCTCTGGTACAGGGTCAGTCTTTTCTTGAAATTATGGATAACGTTTTCGCACAACTGTGGCTCTATTTCGTCGATAACGGGCCGTATCTCTTCTACAAGGCATTCAACTGTTTGTAGTTTGTTCGCATAGACATTTTCGTTCACATAGCCCCAAAGGAAGAAGTCCATTGGCCTTAGATCGCACGATCTTTGTGATCGACAAACCGAGAGATGACACGGTATGGAAACTTGGTCCGCAGTAACGCCTTTGTTTCGCGTGCTGTGTGGCAGGTCGTACCGTGATGCGGCTGATGCATTGGCTGTTCGATTATTACTGCGACTATATTTTCGAGGGACCGACCAAGACGGCGACGAACAGTGGTCTTCACATTCAGCAACGTAAATTTTGTAATTAAACGGCGAACTGACGACTCATTTGACGCATTATCGCTACCGAAAATTGTACGTAATTTGCGAACTGTTTCCGCGTAATTTTCTCCATTTCTGTAGTAAGTTTTCACAATAATTAAACGATGCTCGTTTGAATACCGCTCCATGACGTCTAATCGCGTGGTCTGAACATGACAGCTGCCATCAAGTAAACACCGTACAAAAAAATGGCAGCAAATTCAAATCCGACGCTCTTGTTGAGACACCCTTTAGATTTTCAAATTTCCTGAAATTTACAAATTGAAAATCCTTCAGACACAAATACTCTTAAACGTAAATAAAAAAAAACACAAGTGCAGAAAATATTAGCGAGTGCAAATTTCCCAATAAACAGAACTAAAGTAAATCTTCAATTCTAAATCTGTGCTTTTATCTAGCGACCAGTAAAACTTTTTTAAATTTCAGGTGTTATATTTTATAACCATAGAGGTTAAAAACTTCTCTTGCAAAATGTTGTCAACCCATATCATTCGCGGCTTACCTAGCAAATAGTTGTTTGATCCATGGTAAAACAGTTTCAACAATACAGATATAGGCTTACCTGAATTGTATTGAAAATCAGTTCGGCAATTCCTAGTCCCTCCACATTGATTAGATGAGGTTGGAACAGTGCCTCTGGTGCTTCAAATCTTTCTCCTCCTACTTTAATAACTCTACCATCTGGCAAAGTATACGGTTCTACTAGCACAGTCGTTTCTAAGGCTAGGCGTTTTTCTGTTTCTATATCATATCCAATATAACACAGTTTTTCCTTCATCTTTCTCACCTACAAACAAAAAGGCGAATCCAAACTAATTTTAAGCCGCAATAAACACATTCTAAAAGAAGATGTTCAACCCTGCAGTATTAATAATGACGTTTATTGGCTAAAATACATAAATTGACCAAATGGTCATCAACCAGAGTTCTTCAGGCAGTAACATTCGTCTACTATATAATTTCATCTGTATTCATGTAAATTAAAAGAGGACATATTAATTTAACAAGTATTATTGGAAAAAATCTGTTAATAGGGACTTCAGTGTTCAAGGACAATGAAAGTTTATGATGGAAGCTCTGTGATAATTTCGTGAAGCATCCTCCCAGGGTACTTGCAGCAGGATTGGATATTCCTCTCTCTCAACTTCGGGTTCCAAGGATGTCACAAGCAGATACTTTTGAATGTTTAGACAACAACTTCTTGTTTAAGCCCTGCTTCTTTGAAACCTTTTTTTCAAACACAATTTAGTCTGCATAATTTTTTAGTCTAATCATTAGGCGAAAATACCCCTAGTTTGCGAAATAATTGTATAGTTTGGGTTTATTGATGCAAGTTGTTTAAGGGGGATTTAAAATATGGACGCATAAAATGGGTACACCAATTTTTGTTGGAAAATTTTTGAGATCCAGTCGAAAGTGTTGGCAGGGACGAAAAAACTCTTCAAATAAGAAGGGATTTATGAGACCTACCGACTATGGCCGAAAACGGAATGGCTTGTGATTCATGTCGGCAAAGTACACTCGTGTATTTTGCTATAAAATGCCCTTTAAACGAACCCTGTATATTGCTCAATAAGCTAGTAGTGATGGCCGGAAGACAGGTGTTGTGGGATAAACAACTAGAAATTTTCAAAAACTACGTGACCAATCGACTCCAATTTTATTGTGGTTATTTAGAAGTAAGAGGCCTTCTGATTTGAATAATTTCACGTAGTTACGTGAAATTATCGTCGCATTAGCAACAAGTGTCGAAAACCTGCATTTTGCCTCGGTTTTCGACATAACTTTTTTAATATAAGTGGGATCTTTTTACGTGTGGTCTCATTCTGTAGGTCTTATAAATAACTAAAAATCTTATTTGGAGAGTTTTCTCGTTCCTGCAAATACTTTCGATTGAATCTCAAAAACACGTTTTCTCATTCTTTGTTGTCGAATAAAAAAATTTTCCACAAAAATTGGTGTACCCATTTTATGCATCCATGTTTTAAATACCCCTTTGAACAACTTGCCTCAATAAAACCAGACTAGACAATTATTTCGGGGAAATTAGCTAGTCTGATTAGACTATTCATTATTTTAGTGTGGTGCTTCAAGTTTATCCTGTTAGATGTTCAGTACAATTTCATCAGAGGTAGCAACAGTGACACCTAAAGATGGTGGTTATGAGGTACACGTAATGGTTGAGGGAGCCACGACACATACGTCCGTTTTCGCGAAAGTTTGATTAGGGCATCTTCTGGTAGAATATGTCAGTCAATAGAAAAGATAAGATGTCAATGATGATGAATACCGTTTCAAAATCTGCAGAATGGTTAAAAGCATATCCTCTGAGCAATAACAGTTTGATGAGATATCGTGTGATGTCTCTTCCAGCAATATCTAACCTTCTTGTTAGATGTGGCAGTGTGTACTGTTCGAAAATGGGGCATATATGAGTTACACCATCCCCTGAGTCCACAACTACTCCTGTTATCAGTCCCTAGAATAATATTAATTAATAAATACAAGTATGTGTCGTATAGTCATTCACTTCAAGTGTTTAAAACATTTTCTGTTGCTAAAGTATAAACTGCTTCATTATTTGAGATACTTTTGCTAGAAATTGTATTTTTATTTATCAAAATGTAATAAAAAAATTACCTGAGCATATAAGGTCAGTACAGCTTGGATTGCTACATATGCCCCTGCAAATCCATATTTCTCAAACACAACTTCAATCATTTTCTCCTTATTTTTTAGTGGATTCATTGGTGGTTCCGTCAGTAAAATCTATAAAAAAGATATCAATAAGCTAAACAAATCAAAAATGTCTATCATGTATACAATAACTAGTATGATGAGAAACCTCAATCGATGCTGTAAAACACAAACTCACACACATATCCTCACATGTTTGGATTTTTCAATCTCGACTCCTGGATTTTGCAATTTGAAAGCAACTTCATACCACTCTCTTTGCAATAAAAACATCTATTTCTTTATATAGAATTTTGACTTGGGCCCAATACTAGTATAGTGGTAACAAAAATGATACATAGAAGACTGTAATTCTACAATTTTCCAATAAGATTCTAACAAAAGAAATGGCAAACCATATTTAATTTAAAGGAGTAATTTGTCAATAACAATAGAAATTGTACTTGTCTAAAGCACAACTGAATTGGTCATTCCAAAAACCAATTAAGTCATATTGTTTTCTAAAATGTTTTTCTTTGTGAACACAAAGGTTGATTTATATTATGGGTATGAACCACACAAGTCAATGCATTTCTTCTTCTTCAAATAATGCTGCATAGTAGGGATGTTCCGATCCAGTACAAGTATGGATACCATGTATCGATTCGTATCGTTTTAGGAAGTATCGATACTCTAAAATATCGGAATGAAAATATCACTACAAGTATCGAAACCTTTCGATACGGAACACACTGTGCCGAAATTCGAAGTTTTTTCTACAACCCTCAAAATAATGTTTACTTTTTCAAGTACAGGACTAGATTGTCAAAAACGTTCACTAATAAGAATAGGTAAAAACTAACTAGGAAATTCATTAGAAAACGAATCATTATTTATTTCACATTTAAATGAAACAACTATACTACATATTACAGATAAGCTTATTAAACATGAAATATATAAAGCAAAAGGTATTAAAAAACAATATTACAAATAACTCAAAGTTCAAAATCTTAGAAATTCCAGTTTTCAGCACCCAGCGAATGTAAAAATAATAGTTCTGACATTCGTTCAACAGATAATCTGTTTCAGCTTTGGCAGAGTATATTTCTGGCTTCAGTTAAGGATCTCTCTGAGCAAACTGTTGTGCCAACAATAAAGAGATATTTACTAGGCAGTTCTTTAAATATCACAGAGGAAGAACTGGAGCTATTCCAGTACAAAAAGGGATTCGAGTTTACAGGTATGGTATAACTATTTAAATACAGTTGTAGCTCAAGATCAATATCTGATTTAGTATTACCATATTTATCTGCGTGATTTTGGGCCAGTTTTTCATGGTATGCCCAAACACCATCAGATTTTTCAACAATATTAATATGGTTTTGCCCTGCTTTTTCAGTATTTATTTCCTGAATTGACTGATTTAGGAAAGTGACTGCATATTTGCACACAAAATTGGACTGTTAAAGTGCAATCATTTAAAACAAGGGTCCAGAATATTTGAGACAGCTAAAAGTTTAATCTGCTTTATGCTTCCAAAACATTGTGAAAGCTAATCAAAAAAGTCAAATTTTCAATTTTTTAAACAGGCAATTATATAATAAAATAAGATTTTACATAATACCTCTCCAGTAAAAAAATATCCCCAAAATCTTTCCCATTCAAATAAAAATCCCCTAATATGGCAACCATGAAATCAAAAATAAATTGTGAGTCACTATTTCTGACACAGTCCGCATCGAAAGATATCGGTAGTCGTGAAATGTATCAATTCACCCAAGTATTCTATATAAAAATATCGATCCAAAATATCGTGAATCGGAAGCAAAAGTATCGATATTTCTAAATATCGGATCGTATCGGACATCCCTACTGCATAGTAGATATCATTGCATAGACAACAAATCAGTGCCTTAATTAATTTTTGCATGCTTGACTAACATTGCTTTGCTTAAATTATAAACCACTAACACAAACCCTATTTGTTGATAGATCAACATAAGTCAAGAAAAGTTTTTTCATTATTGTTACTACAATCTGTTAAGCTTCAGCTTATCAATCCTTGAAAACTCAAATAAAATTAAAGCTTATAAGATCTTTCAAACCTATTTACTTGTAAATAACATTGATTGATTCCAAAACCATTCAAATTGTGTGATGCTTTTTAAATGACTGATTCAAATCCTTAAAGACTAGTCCATAAATAATTAGAAGATTGTTACTCAAACAGTAATAATTATTTGATATCTGATAATTCACTTTTTTGGATCAAGATATTAGTTTTCAATTATAAAATTTGAAACATTTCAGGGTGTATTTTCAATCAAGATAACATGTTATTAATTTTGTCTATTGATCTATACTTTTCCTCACTCTCAAATGCCAGAATCACCAACCTTAGTTTCCTTTGGATTTAAGTTCATCTTTTTTGGACCAAAAGTGTAGTCCCATACATGGCACATATCCTCCCAATTCCGAACAACACCATTTTCCATTGGGTAACTAACTTCCAGTAAGGATCTGAGTGCTGACACTTCATCTCCAACCATCAAATCCTAAGATACAATAAACAACAATTATAAACAGATGGTAATAAAAGTCATTGCTACTGAAATAAGACCTAATTATTTTATTTTAATTCCTGCTTTGTAATAGCAGTGTCATTTTTGCAGATGTGCTGACTAGTGGATATCAAAAAAATGTCCTATGAGAAAAATACTACACTTAGTTTGATACCTCAATAGTATTTGAATAAATCTGTATTTTTTAAGAATGTGTATGATAAGAGAAATTATTCACAATCATTACACTGGTAAGTATACTCAGAAAGTGGAAGCATCCTAAGAACTATGAAAATGTGCCTCTCAAAATGCAGGAATCTTTAATCATCCAAAATGCTCATAATCTCATGGACTTGAGTATATCCTAAAGCTAAGTGTATCATTAGGAAGTGAAATTAAGATACTCCACAAGCTTAATGTAAATTGATCTGCAAATATTCATGCACATCTTAATTATGAAGCTATAGTAACAAATATATGCATAATTTGATACATACTTTATATTTATAAATAACCATCTTTTATTCTAATATGCTTCAATGACTAGTTTTCTGTAATAGGTCATGCCTAAGAAAAAGCATTATCCTATTACTTACAGGAAGATTGGTTGCAACTCCCTGAAGCATGAAACAATTAGCAACTGTTAAATAATAAGAAAAAAAAACATTGATCATATTAGTATGAATTCACTCAATATCGAACACAACAATCTATTTTTTTGTTATCTATCCCAACAAATAACTACTCAAGGGTTATAGGTATGTGTTAGAGTAAATAATTGTGCACAGAAAAAGACACACAGTATACATAAATAGACTTACGTCTACGTGTAAATCCTAGAAAAACAAAATAAAAGATGAATTCAGTTGCTTTTTACAAGCCCCCTGCAGAGTATATATTTAAAGATCTGATTGAACTGAACCTTACCTTTATTTCAATATCACCAATTTTATTTACAGCCCTAATTATTGGTCTTCCTACCATGGAAGGAAATATGTGAGCAGGAAAATTACTGCCGGCGTAGCCGCATTTAACGAACTGAAAAAGAAGATATGTTTGGAGTTAATAAGCTGAAAAAACACACTAACTTGAAGACCTCACCCCCGTTCCATTATCACAAACGATTACTTTTCTTCCTTGGCTGTCCATTTTTGTACTTTTGTGAACTTTTTATTCAAATTATATGTGAATCATTAGTTTCGTTTACCACACCTCAAAAATATTCTTTTAGCTTTTATTTATGAGAAGTCAACGTCAAGAGTTAAAAATGCAAGGAAACGTCAGCTTGACATGGAACCATAGGACTACGTTACACATAGGCTAGAGCAGGCTAGAGACACAAGAGCATAAGACTGAAGAAGTGGGAGCTGCACGTTAAACGATGGCAACACCGTTGACGTTTGTCAGATGGTTGCGCTACCTACTTGCCTGGAGATCTGGAGGAACTATCGAAATAATGCCGAGAATGCGCCTGGTATAATGAATGTTAGGAATGCGCCGGGGGTTTCGTTTGTTCCTAATTCAAAACCTGCTGACAATGGTATTGACAATGTTGAAGGATTATTTCAAAAACACTTATTCATAAAATATCCCCAATAACGGTAATTTCTCTTTCAGCAATTTTCCTGAGAACAAGCTTCAGGTAATTATGAAGCACAAAATAAATTTAGTTTCAATAAAAAAATTGTATTACATGAAAATATGGGTAGAAGTATTCCAAATTCAGGTTGAGTCTCGCTTCATTGAATGGCTTCCTGATAATTCTGAAACGATACAGAAAACACTAATGTAATTCATAATTCTTTCTAAATAACCTAGTCACTCTTAATTAGTTTGCTCAGTACTATGACTTTAATTTGTTGGCCTAGACGGCCAGAATTTTGCTTTATGAAGCTTAAGGCCTTACGACTGTATTCTGCCAATATAACCACGTCTTATTTAATAAAAAAAATATGTACTTTATATAACGGTGCCAACTGCAATGATTATAAAGAGGCTGAATGCTATTTTAAATAATCTATCAACTATATCATGCCGATATCACACTTCACAGCCTGCCGGTAGCACTTTATGACATAACAGAGTCTCCTGAACTTCTGCATCTCCCACAATAGTCACAATAAATCTTACGTAAACCATCACAGCTAATGGTAGCGTTGCTTTATATTTTATGCTCATTTTTAACTAAATATTCCCGAAAGCGTCAGCGTTGATAATATGGATATTAACCAAAACAAACGCCTTATTTGATATCTTTACAATTAGATAAAAATAGAGAATCGCTCGCACGTCACGTGGCGGTAATGAAGTTTCCTCGATTTAGCCAGAAGAGGATGACCTTGGTGTTGCCAGTTCGCCCATAAGACGTTTCACCACCCTAGTTAGAGAGGAAACGAAAGAAGTGGGATAGCTCTAGACTCATTTTTGCTGTATGCCATTTACTTCCACAGGTTATAAGATCGATGCCTCGAAATAGCTTTTTAAAAAAGTTCATTTTTCGAAAATACGAAACTCAAAGATGTACTTACAATGTTAAAGGGTTAAATCTGAATGTAAAATATGTTAAGAAGAATAAAGTAAACTCTAGGACTTCTAGCAAATTAGTAGGCTGATTTTACTCACATGTTTCCCATCCAAATAATAATAACTGGTAGTTATTTTGACGAAAATGTGTTAAAACACTAGTTAACTTAGCAGACATGATTAAAACTACTGTCAGATTGTTGAACTGAAAAATCGTTACTTGCATCCAGTTCTATATTTTGAGAGAGTTTCACAACGATTTTGTTTTCTTATCATTCGTCTATGATCACAGAACACATAACACTGATCTATGGCGACTGTCGTTTTTCCCAAATGTCAAAATCCCAAATCGCCAAAATACGTCAAAGTCAAAGATTGTTGTTGAAATTCATCAAAAAAACGTAGATGAAAATTGGAAATGTTTTAATGTTTTTCACTGTGATTATTCGTCGTTTTTCCAGGAATATCTTCTCGCTACCTTATAGCTATAAAACGGATTTGTTTCATATAAAGTAGGTTTGATGTTTCTAGAATATGCATTAGGAACCCAAGTTGTTACAAACTGGGCTAACCACCTTTAAAATATCGTTATTATTGCAGATGACATGAATTTCACAACCCCAGAGTATATTATTAATAGACAGAGGTGTCAGCAATGGGTGCCTTTGATTACACAACAGGTATTAACATAGCATGAAAATTGAGAGACATTACTAACTTAATTTATCTTCTAGTATCGATTACGACATGTGTACCAAATTATGTGCTTCAATCTCTTACCAGAAGTCCAAGGTAGATTCTATTACACCTTGCATACTACAACAATGAGTGCTCCATTCTATACTAGTGGCAGGTACAGCAATCCACATCCAAAATGGTCCGAATTGGACTTGAACAAAGTCCAAAACACCTCGGCTTCATGCATAGTATTAAGGATATGGCAGTGTGATATTGAAGATTCAGATAAAATAGTTCTAACTTGGGGAGTACACTTCTCAGGATTAGTTTACATAGGAAATAAGATTGCTGATATTCAGCCACATCATTTTAAGAATAACACTGTGATATTTTACATGTTAGGAGGATACTTTACTAGTCACCATATGATTAGAACTGACTTGCAGAAGCCTGTACCTTTCCATAGTTCCATGAATATTTCAAATAAGAACACAAATGAAACAAGCGTGTGTAAAAGACTAGCTATGAAAGTCAACAAGAATGAAGTTCATAATAGTTACAATATTCAAAAATTAAGGAAGTTGCAGTCCTTACAATTGCAAATAAAGAACAAGTGTGTGGATGTACAGAATATTAGGGATAAAATCAATGCATTGATAGGAAATAATGTCAGAGAAGACAATACTAGTTCTGAGCCTGTTTCTAGTCCTAGCTCTACTGTCAGGTATGCTCCACAACTGTTAACCATGAACTCATTGAATAAAATGTTACAGGTAAGAATCAATTTCTTTAGCATAGATGACAATATTTGAGGTTTTACTTCTTTTAGTAATAGGTATAAACAAAAAATTGTGTTAATTTCAGTAGATGTTTGCTTAAATAATGAATCCCCAACTACCAATATGGAGTTTTATATTCAGCTAAAACAATGATTTTATATAAAGTACCTTCAAAATATGAATTACTTAATGAGAAATTGTTATCTCATTGTATCAGTTGTTATAACAAAAAAAAATGCATTGTGTAACTGGTAATTCACCATATTTATTCCAGGACATGATAGGGGGGACCTATAATGCAACAAATTTCACTGTATATGTGTATAGGCAAAAATCAATAGTTTATGAGATTTTACAGTTTTTGTGATTTTTACATACCCCTGAAACTGGTCTTTTGAGTCATGTGTGAAATATGTGAGAACTAAATTAATTTTAATAGTTTGTACATACAAAAAATTAATAAGATCCATTGTCACTAACATCTAAATGAATGCTAGTCTGAGAAAAGTTTTACTTTTAAGTTTTCCTTAATAATAGTAAGTATAAATTACTGTTAATACCCATATAGTCTGTTTACTGAAAACAGTATCAAACAACATTAAAACAGGTGAAACTTTTGATAATAGTTATGCAAGCAGATTTAGATCAAATAATGATCATTTAACTGAATAATTACTTAATTAATAACTATTTCAATAGAACATGTAACTTTTTCATAAAACTTACTCAATACATAGCTCACAGTCAGGAATACCTGGTAGCACTTAGTTGTTAGCTTATGCTTCTGTCATTTTTGAGGTAAAAGGAACCCTCTTGTCTGATGGTGTGCTGGCAGTATTTTACTCTCGTAATCTCAGTAACAGCTGCAATGATTTGGCTGCAATTTGGGGAGCAGGATGCTGTGGGGTGATAGTAATTTCTATTTTATTTTGTAAATCATTGCAGGGCGATCGTTCCTGATGTTTGTTTTTGTATGCTTCACAACATTCTGGTTAGAATATAGTCAATCTCATCATTATTTTTGACTTACATATAAAAACATTAATACTCGAACAACAATCCTGGTGGCAAAATTTTGAATTTGTACATATGGAAGATTTGAAAATAGACAAGTCAATCTATTGACACATTGGTTTTCCTGGAAACTGTCTATTAAATCACCCACAGATGTAGACGATTTTAATGTTCCAAGATTTTCTGCCTCTGAAGACTAGGTCTGATAGTCATAGCTATCTTACAGAAGTCCTAAGACTTGATTTCAAAAACCTCCTCCCATGTATTGCAATCGTAATCTGCAGTGTCAAAAATACAAAACAGACTATACCACCTAGCTATTCAATCTAAGGACTTGACACTTGAAATTCATAGCTTGGCATTGTATTGTGGATAACACTTTGTAATGACACATTGAGGCCCCCATATGATAGGGATCCGCATCTTTGGTATATTTAACTAACTAACCATTTGTAACAATTAATAGATTCACAATCTTGTTTGACAAGTATCAACAGCTGTCAGAATTCGATATCACCAGAACCACTTTTTTCAATGATTCTACTTGCTCATCAAGAAAAGGAGTCCTGGCAGTTATACGTCGAATTACCACTAACCTTGTATAATAGTGAGAGTAAGATACTGTACATTAAATTGGTGTTCAATTTAAGGAGAAACCTACAGGAGTCCAAAAACAAGAGATGCAGAGGATAAGCAAAATTATTGAATTGGCAAGATTTAGAACGCAATTGCTTTCTCAAGAAAAGGATAGAAAGACAGTTACTATCCGACAGCTTAAGCAAACATATATGCAAGTGATTGAAGAAAATGATGAAAGAAGTAAGTTGAAATACTAAAAATCTGTCTATTTATTTGCTTGTTTGTTGAATATTTATTTATTTTGTATAATCATTTTTTTACTCATTTTTCTGCAGTATTACATTTTTGTCTATAGAAATTATGTCGCTATGTACAGGGTGGACCAGAAAGACGTACAGATGTACGCAGGCACGCGAGCGCGAGACCCGGGTTGTCTGGTGTTCGGAAATTTAGTCGCCATAGAGCATTTCACCCGTGAGCAGCCTGCGTTCTGGGTTAAGGCCTATAAGAAAATCGAGATTAGTGCATTATTGAGCAGCGTCTGTTTTGCTCTGAGCTTAGTTTAAATGATCTAAATCAAGGTCCCAGTAAAAGCGTGATTAGGTCGTGGGTCAGAAACTTTGAGTCTACCGGTTCGACACTGAATCAGAAACCTGCGAGGCGTCCAAGGTCAATACGAACAGAGGAAACTGTAAGTTAAGTTGCGACGTCGATACAGTTATCCTCTCAAAAGAGATGAGCTCGCCATATCAGGAACATCTGTAATGCGTATTTTGGTATAAGACCTTAAATTGCACCAATATAAACTTCAACTACTGCAGGAGTTAAAACCGCAGGACCACCATCTACGCCTTACGGTCGCCGAAACAATGTTAGAGCGTTTTATAAGTTTGAACAATATACTCTTTTCTGCTGAAGCTCATTTTCATTTGAGTTGATTTGTCAACAAGCAAAATTACCGGTATTGGGCCGCAGTAAATCCCAAATTATAACACCAACGAACTTTGCATTCGCGTTATGTTTCAGTTTGGGCGGCCATGTGAGCTGAACGACCCTATTTCTTCGAAAACGAGCAATGCCAGTCTGCAACAGTAAATTCTAATCCCTACACAGCTATGCGACGTAACTTTTTTTCCACATCTGCATAATTTTGAAGAATACCACAGACAAGATAGCGCGACATCCCATACCGCCAACGAGTCTTTAGTAGTTGTAAACGAAATCTTTTCTGGAAAACTGATATTGCGACAAGGGGATATTGCGTGGCGTCCCCGGAGCCCAGATCTCGCGCCACTAGATTTGTTCCTCTGGGGATACCTCAAGAGCCGCGTTGACGCCAATAAACCGACGACGATTGCTCAGCTCAAGCACATTTTCGAGATGTCCGCTATCCCGTGAGCAATGTGCCAGCGAGTTTTCGTGAATTTGAAGTCGAGATCGAGGAGTGCGTACGTCTCGATGACTCACATCACAATGATGATACTTAAAAAAATAAAATTCCCATGTATATTAAAAATATAAATTATCTTTCTAACGCTTTGCAGTTTTTTTCTATGATTTTTTAAAATCCCCTCAAATTCATGGCCCGCCCTGTATTTTGGTTATTCATAAAGCGACTTTTTTACGTTAAAGATATTTAAATTTGAACTCTGTTTAGTATCATTATGATAGGCATTTTTATAGTAGTAGCAAATCTTATCATTAATGTGATCCAACTTATTTCAAACTTAAACTCGGATATAAAGTCAAAATTTACCCAGAAACTCGGAAAATATCAAAAGGCGAAGCTTGGGCGTGAACTGGATTTCTTTGTTTTCCTCACACTTGATGGATCCGAAAAACTTGCAAAACTTCTTTGCTCCTACTATGAAAGTAACCTTGTCTCAGAATCTTATCAAAAACTAACCGTAGTTTCCGAGTTAGAGAAGTAATTTACATGCATTCATGAATCAACTTAGCTACACAACCGGTGGACCACAAGGATCAATATTGGGTCCACTGCTTTATATCATTTTTGTGAATGATTTCAATAGCACTTGCTATGTAATGTATGCCGATGATAAATCCATCCTCGCCAAATCTCCCACTGTCTCTGGTCTAATAAGATTGCCAGTGATGAGCTTGAAAGGATTCATGACTTGTTCAGGGCTAATGGTCTCGTATTGAACAGGGATAAATCAGTTTTTGCGCCACCAGCCTTCTGATAAAATCAAGGGAGGGATCCATCAAACAAGAGAATGATGTAAAATTCCTTGGCGTACATTTGACAAATAACTGCAAGTGGGAACTGCATATACTCGTAGACGATATATGCAAGAAACTATTACCTATAAACCAGCCGAAATATGTTGTGAACATATCCGTGATCATTATGTATTACTACTCTTACTCTCAGAGCACCATTTGCTATGGAATAATTATTTATATAAACAGGATATTTGTAATTCATAAAAAAGCTATCAGAACGATAGTTTCTGCAAGCAGTAGAACACCTTGTAGAGACATTTTCATTAAGTTAAAGATACTTACCTTGCCTTGCCTCTACATATTTCAACTTTTACTCTATGTTAAGAATAACTACAGTAGCTTTGATGCACTCAATGCGCACAGCTGCTACAATACACGGAATTCCTCAATATTACAAATTCCGACACATAGGCTATCAGTAACTGAAAGCAGCCCCAAGTACATGGGAATAATTGCATAAGAAAATCAAATTCCCACGAATTTGAAAGAACTGTCAAATAGTTACTCCTTAGTAAAGCTTATTACTCAGTCAATGAGTAACTTTGTGATAATACAATTTAGTTTCATTTTAACGTCTTTTATTTTATGTATTTATCCTTTTAATTGTAAGTTTATTAATGCTGGTATTATATACTTTCCGTGTGTTAAAACAACTTCATAATTTTTCAGATTCTGAATTGATGGAAAATTACCGGAAGTTGAGTAGGGGGGGAGAAAAATTGAAGGACTACAAAAAATCTGTATCCCAACACAAAGAATTGCACTATCATGTCGTTACCCGGCTTCAGCAGCGAAAAAGAGAACTTCTGCAAGGGCTTCTATTTCTGTATCCCATAGAAAAGAAAGCTGACAACAAATACATCATTCATGGGGTACACCTCCCAAATTCTGATGTTCTGATGACAGGTAAATGAAATATTAGTCTTTTATAATGTGGCACTTTGTTTCGTGAATGTTCAATAATGTCTTTTGGCACTTGTTTCTGGTCCTGTTCTAAGTTTCAGAAAGATATTTATTTTTCAGATAATGCAGATCTTGGAGTATCTGTAGCTTTGGGGTATGTCACACATGTGTTGATTATGAGTTCCGCATTTCTTCATGTACCTCTCAGGTATCAACTGACCCATTATGGTTCTAGATCTTATATTACTGACACTGTGTCTCCCTTGTTGCCAGAAAAAGAAAGAGAGTGAGTGTTCTTTTTAATATTGTTTTACCTTATTTTACCTTCGGTCAGGCGTCCAGTGGGTCAAAAACGTATAATATTTTAATTCACCAGATTTTACAGGATGTGATTATTTCATTAGATAAATATACAAATGCGAATTTAGCTTATTTTGACGTTTTTGCATGTTGGTCGCAATAATTTACAATACCTATATCAAAAAAATGGTTTCTTTGGTTAAATATGTTTTCATTAAATTTCTGATGAACATGTACTTCTGTATAGGGTGGGGAAACATATTTTTCTTTTCTAAAATGTGCGTAATTCAGTCAGCGATGTCGTAGTGGAACGTTAGTGGTTTGCTCGAGAGGCGGAACTATAAATCTTTGTCCCGACACAGATCGCAGGCCGTCAGTAACCACTTAGATACATAATAGTACATGTGGTGAAGAGAAATAAGCTATATAATATAAAGAAAATGTATAAAAATATAAATAAAAATCAATATAAATATAACAATTCATATAAGTGTTCAATTCCATCTTCACATACTCAAGGTTGTACATTCCATATACTCACTTATGTGGTAAAATGCATTTGATGCTAATAATTTTTTAACTTGATTTTTAAATCGAAAATAATTACTGATTTGCTGTATTTCAAATGTTAGTTTATTGGATAATTTGATGCACTTATAGTATGGTGATTTTTTAAAATGTGTTGTGGTATGTGTATGAATGTTTATTAAATTTTGATTTCTAGTATGATAATTATGATGAGCATTAATATTTGGGAACAGGCTATTAAACTTCTTAACATAAGTCACACATTTCAAAATGTAAATGCAGTGCAATGTAAGAATTTCTCGTGATTTAAAAACCTCTCTGCAGGAGTCAAGGGGCTTCATTCCGAAAACGAATCTGACGCTTCTTTTTGGGGCAGCAAATACTCTATTAATTTCGAAAGATGTTCCCCAAATCATATTATAAGACATATGGCTATAAGCCAGCCCATAATATACATTGATAAGAGCTTTTCCATTCAAGTTGTAAAATGGCAAATATCTTTTACTTAAATTTTTACATATGTAAACCCACAGTATATAATGTTTGCTTAAGTATGTTACTGTCTATAGTGTCTGACGATAGTTGTCAACATTATCATGTTCACCTGTTTTGAATATAGGTATAATCATCGCAAGTTTTAATATTTTAGGAAAACAACCACTTTTAGCAGATTTATTAAATAAAAATACCAAAGTATCACCGATAAAACTAAGAATTTCATTTAAAAGATGTAGACTTTTTATTTATAATTTTGTTTAAAATACTTTGTAGCTCATTTAAAGTGGTTGGTTCAATCAAAATAGGATTTTCTCTGTAAGGTGAAATGGTACAGGGAAGTGATAGTTCTGGCACAGCCGACGTCAACTACGAGCCGTGATGAAAGAAAGGCAACACCGCGCTCGGACGACATGGTAGTGCTACCTGTGAACGTCGGCCGGCTGCGGCTGTGTGCTCCGTCTCCGTGTAACGTTCAAGAACTAAATTTAATTTTGGAAAAGAGGACAGTTCGATTCAATACAAATCATCTGAATATGAAATAGCTCTAAAAAATTTAAAAATACGAAATAATCGTGATATATATGAGTCGCTAATGCAGTTAACCTAATTAAAAGTATTTAGTTTACGTTTTTCTTTGTCAGCACACTGTGTTCCAACAGGCCCAGCTTGGAAATGTGGAGTTACCTGTTTGTTTTTAATACATTTACTTTCAGTTTTACTGTTATTTTTCAATTTTACATAATCATTCAAAATTATGTTTAAAAAAATAGACAAAAGCTTAGATAAAATATCTGCATAATTGCGGCCACAGATGCAAGTTAAAGAAAATTCACTGTAAATAAAGTCAGACTGAATGCTGAGCAAGGTTAACTGACAAAATAAATTTTTGATTATTGCTTTTCAAGAAGAAAATTTCCAATCTATCTACATTAATAATAGATTCAAAAATGGCATACATATGGTAGAATATGATTGGTACATAACTGGTTGGAATTGACAGTCCTCCTCTTTGCAAATAATCAAAATAAACATTTGTTGTTAATGAACCTTTTTCTTTAACTATTAGCGATTTGCATATCTCGCAGTTTAGGTTTTTAGAGATAGCGTGTGAAGCATATCCAGATATATAAGTCTTAGTACTATCCTCTATGTCACAATTGGCTAAGTAATTTGTCTCAAATAATTCATTGAATATATCCAAAACTTCAGGATTTTGTTTGGTATCCAAGAAATCAAAATTTTCTTGAGTTTCTAAGCAGTTTTGGAACCTTGTTTTAATTTCTGCTAAAGAAAATGACGATTTCTTTTCATTGAAAATATGCTTCAGCCGTATTTTCTTTTCAGCATTTAAAATTTCATCATATGACACATTGTAATTGCAGCCACATAAAAGTCTATAATTGCCAAATCGTTTTTCTAAATTATCAGTGGTGAATTTTCCAGGCAATACATACTCAATGTCAAATTGATTAAATGAATATTCAATTATATTAAGTAGAGTCAGCGTGCTTTGATATAGAGCTGTATACATTTCTGGTGTCAGGTGTCCATTATTATTCTCTAGATTATGCCATTTTTCTAACCATATCAGGAATTTTTTAAAAAATTGTACTCTATAATCATATTTATTGGTAATAGGCTTACAAAATTCGTTTCGCTTCAATTCTCCTTTTATTACACTTGTATTACTGACAATATCCCACCAATTCCTGATTATTTCCAAAAAGTGTGCAGCATCATTAAACTTTAATTCCTTCATAGCAGCTATTGTTGAGTGATGGAATAAATTATCTACAAAATTTACATTTTGCCTTTCAAATGAATTTGGATGCAATGTTTTATAATTTAATTTATATGCTTTCTTAACTACAGCTTCTTTTTCCAATTGATATACAGCACGAATGTTTTCAAATTTAGCATACTGAATAATATCAGTATTGTCAAAATTAGGATATACAAAAGTTTTGTCTAGGTTTTTTAAATTAATCCAATTATTTCTGATTTTGAAAATATGCACAACATCATAAGTTAAATATATGTTCTCATCAGGATTATGTGGATTTGGAATAGAATAATTTTCTGATGAATCCTTTGCTAATTTACTGAACATTGCTCTATTAATTCGGTGATTATCAGTAACAACACAAATAACTTCAAATCCACATTTTTGAACTAAATTTATCACATGTTCAACCAAAGGTGTCATTTCATCACCTGTTAGATTTGAAACTGTTAGTAATTTGATAATTTCTGTTATGTTTCCAAATGCTGAAAAATACAACCAGAATTTGCACGTTTTCAATAGTTGAAATCCTTAGCGTCCTGAGGCGCGAACAGCCACAGTCACACTTCTTAGTTTATTTTTAAAGCACAGAAGCACTACAACTGGAGTCTATTTCTCATATATTATAGTCACCGATCACTTTGAACACATACACACACTTTGAAGTTTAGAAAACAAGCTTATCTCTTAATTACAGCCTCTGCGATTCCAAAATCACAAATTGAAAAGGTTATGTTTTCTCAGCGTTTTGAGCGGCGGGAGTAACACTACCACCTACGTTGCCAGATTTCTTTGTTCACGGCTGTGGTTCTGGCCAAAGTGTGACTTCATTTTCTGAGAGTCACAGGTAAAGAATGTGAGCGCAAAAATTGACAAATTTCTTGTACAGACGTTAGATTTCCCTGTGAGTCTTTCTTACTACATATATCCTTGTTTTTTGGAAGATGATCTGACAAGTTTTATATTTATTATTTTCCGACTTCTTTACTGTATTGTCTGCGTTACAATTTTTTTCCGAGTAATAATGTCTTTTTGTGTTTTGAATATTTTTGCGGTAATTTATTTTTTCTTATAAATTAAGCTATTTTATCTCTGATGACCCAATATGGATCATAAATTGATACACATTTTTTATATGGTTGCATTGACTTGTTGTCCTTTTGAAATACATATATATCTTTCAGGGCTAGCTAAATCCAAACACCACAGTACTTAAATGCATTATTTATGTCTGAAATATATAGAGTTGACTAACCGGCTGTTCTTAATAGATGTTTCAGCGTGCTTTTGCCGTTGAGGCCTGCTTTTCGAGCAGTTGTTCTGTAATCGCAGCCGATAGCGCAGCCCTGCTCAGCCGCCATCTTGAAATGTTCAACTATTATTTTTACGTTAGGATACACTATCCACGTCTCAATTTAATCGAACATAAGAAACATATGTTTAGGGTGGATTTCACCAAAAGACAAGCCGTTATTCTCCACTAACCTCATCAAACATCCCTCCATCAAATTTTAGTAACCCATGGCATTTGAGGCATTAAAATTAAAAGCAGTCAAAATATCAGATGACAGGTTAGCATGAAATAATCAAATATCCCGGATAATCTATCCTGATTAACGTAATACATTAGATTTGGCTTGTCAGACATGATTAATTCATCTATAATAAAGGAAAGATTAAAAATATTGTTTTTTTTCCTTTTTCTTGTTTCCTCTTTACAGGCACTGCAATAAAAGCTTGGCGTCCAAGAGTCCGTTAAATTTTAATGTTGGTGAAATGCACTCTTAATCTAATATTGATATTTTAATATTTTGATGTTTAATGTGTATCTACTAGACGTCTGGCCTAGAGTTGCATTTTCCGACCATTATCTGCTATTTTCTCTATTTTACAGCTTTCCTCTGTTCACTAAAGGCAAAGACAAGGCTCAGTTCACATACGCTGTTTACCTATTAAACAAAAACATAGCCCAATTACGTTGGCTGTATTTTATGAACACCAACGACCTCCGAGCTACACTGCATAATCTCCTAACATTCCTACAAGGTCAACGAGAGCCCAAAACAGATGCGCTATTATCACAAGAGGCCAGTACCAGCCACAAACCTGAAGTTCCTTCAACGAAAACCCAAAGAGCAATCGGTACACCAAATGAGAAAAATGTTAGTTTACATAGTCTGAATGCAAATTCCAATATATCCGATCCTGTTTTAGACAGTTTAAGACAGGATAATCAGGCGATTAGATTGTGCAGTCCATCAAGAAGGCTTTCAGGCGTGAGGTCAATCAGTAGACTCGGTAGTGGGGGGTTAAGCGAGGCTCTTGCTATGCCGGAGGCTTATTTGAATAGGCAAATTGGCGTGGAAGCACTTAGAAATTTCATAGTCGCAAATGATAAGGGTAGTACTACGGGTGAAGCTGCTAGTAGTGTTGGTGAGTATAATTTCCAAATTGTTCTACATTCATTTATTTCTCGGTAGGAGCTATAGAGTTCCTAGCCATGGCAGTCATTTGAGAAATGACAGAAATGTCATTGTTTGACATTTGTGTTCGTTATAGTTTGACCAAAATGTCATCACGAACGCCTTAAGAACGTGCGCTTATCATTCAAAAGATTTTCGAAAAAAATCATTATCTAAACCCGACACCCATTGCACCGTTGAATGTGAATCCAAACAGTATAACAAAAAATTTAAAAACTCTACTCGTACACATTAAGGGAACAAGAAAAAAATCAAAATTTTTCAAAAATACCCTTAGATTCTCTGTGCGATCAGTGGTTACCGAGGTATGCTATAAGTGATCGATGACAAAAGGATCCTTTTTCAGATATCTCCGCGCCAAATGATCATATCGGGATTTTACAAACAATATTGAAGCTGAAGAAACGGGCTATCTGATCCATATAACGACCCAACAGAAAAAAATGTTTCAAGCCCGTGGACCAAAAAAGTCAAACATTTTGCAAATAATTTTCCTTGCGGTATCTGTTAGAATTGCGTGAGAACCGATGCTCCTAAAATGGGGCTTACTGGATACACAGGGTGTTCGGAAGGTAGATACCATCCCCTTAAGAGGTGATGATACACCCTATTTAGAACGCATTACTAGCCACATATACCTCGTTACAAAGTCGAACCGTTTTTGAGTTACGCGCAATTTTGTGGAATCCTAGAACCAAGAGAAAATTGTGCGATAAACCAACGCTTTATCATTCATCATAATGTATAGTCTCCCTATACAAATAGTTTCCACGTTTAAAATGTAGCTTAAAATCATTGAATAAACTTCCTCCACTTCTGCTCTTTTTTATGGTGTCTCATATGAAGCGATACAACCATATTTTTCTTCCCAATAACCCAAAATATTAGATCAAGCAGAATGTCATTGAAATTTCAACATAAAATCCACTTTTTGTGAAACGAAGCACTTGATATTGAAAAAAATATTCATCCATTCAATAATAAGATGCAAACTGTTACTTTTTATGCATCTTCATGCCCTTGTTTCGTATTCTCGAATATAGCCAGTTTACTAACAGCGAATCGGACTCACAGAACCGTGTCGGTTTTCTGAAGATTCAGTGGGACGATATGACAACTGCACAAATTCAAAAACATAAAATTTACACACAGAAATATAATAATAATTTTCAAGAACGTTACCAAACTTCAGGCGCCATCTAATGGAGGGTAGAGTGACTACTAGACTTTTAAGCTTACCTTGCCACCATCATGCTCAAGTTCAGCAGTTGCTTTCATCTCAATCTATCGTATCAATTTGATCCACGCTTCGAGTAAGACCAAAATGCCTCTTTTGGATTCAGCGAATTTGCGACTGTAATTCAAACGCTTCTTTTCGATTGGTGGAATTTACGTCTAGGTCACAAATTTTGCGCCTGGGCGCAAACGAAAAAATTGTTTTTGGAGGCTAAACCAGGTGATATATGAGAATCGGTGGCCCATCTTACACTAATCCTACGATTTTTATGTAGTTTGAGAGATAGGCTTTAGAGTCCTGTATCTATGAGTACGTAGGGGGATCCCGTAGGAGATTTTTATATAATTCGTGTGGTATTATTTTCTGTGTTCTACAGGGTGTCCCAATATTCGAAAACTACCCGAGATGGCCTGTTTTTGAAACAGTCATAACATGAAGTAAATGAAAAATTCTGCTATTATTTATGTAGTAGTGGGGTAGTTTTTACTTTTCTCGAACCCTTTCGAGTTTTTTTGTTTGTTAAAGTCGAATATTAGGTAGTCTAGCAAAACACGTGTTACAAATTTCACTCAAATCGGACTATCGGTTCCAAAATTATCTGAGAAAAATACGCATTAAAAAGAAAACTTGATGCCCTCTACCGGACAAACGAAGCTCTTTTGCATAGAGGTAAATCATGTCCAATCGACTTATTTTGAGTAAAAAAATACGTTTTACTTCTATGTCAACATAGCATTTGGACCGTGTATATGTATATGAGAAATTGACATTTTATTCTGGATATTGTTGTAAGCATAAGTGATTGGCGGCGCCGCGATACATAAACCCGTTTTTGGGCAGTCACTGCTTCCATTTGAATTAGGTACTTCTCGCGAAATATGTTAATCATTGGTATTGTTCATCAAATAGGTGTATAAATAAGAATAACCAATTACAGTACTGATTATTTTTGTATTTCAGATAATAATAAACCCCAGTCAGCCTTCAGCAGTCTCAAATCTAATCTAATAAAAATAACGAAAGGCAAAGAAGCTAAACTTATCTGTGATAACGACAAGAATGCAGCTTTGAAGATCGAAAGAGGTCATGATCCTTTAAATCCAGATTCGATCTTCTCGAACGCATCTACAAAATCATTAGAGATCCACTCAGACAGTCAATTAAACAAGGATGTATCAGAAACAAGGATCAGTCGATCAATGGATACCTTCCATGGCCCGTTACCAATGAGAGTTGAAACGGAAGTCGGTTCTGAACCGCAACTCGAGAGGTTATCAGAGATAAAAAACAGGATCAGTGTTTCTACGGATAATGATGTGATACAGTTTGAGGATACAACAGACTTGGGTTCGGAACCCCAGTCAAATAACGACTCAGAGACAACGATCACTAGTGATCAGGGTATCCAAAAAAATGCGGATAATGTCTCATGTCAGTCACCTGTAGTCTCTTCTGATGCAGAGATAAAATCGAAAACAGTGGCATCTTATACCGAACAGGAGGATTCAAATCAAATGGAGTCTAAATTAGAACCAGCCAAGGAACCACAGTTAGATCAAACAGCAACTAACAGGTAAAATATTGTTCAATATCGTTGAAGTGTTCATCCTTTTTGAAATTTATAAACTTGAAAGTATCGTGTTTTTCTCTTCATGAATACCAAATCTCATTTACGCCGCGTCAAAACAAACCGAATTATCGTACACTTCTATTTATTTGTCGCACATGCCCAGACATTTATGAGCCGCTGGTCAAAGAGCGCGAAAAATTGAAGACTACGCTTTAGTTTTAATTTTTACATGAGATTTGATTATAGCTTAAGATAGCTACTTCTAGTTATTGTATTTTTTTAACAAACGTAGTGGTACATAATGATAAAATACGATGAACCTGGTTCTGTACTCTTCTGGATTTACTTTGATTTGTTTTTATTAAAGGTTACTGGATAATTCCTCGATCTCGGGCAGCTCTTTGCAAACACAACTTGCATCGAACTGTGCTGAAGGTGAAGAAGAAATCGGAAATGCCACCACTCAGAAAGAATTCCTAGAGAAATGGATGCAAACGATGCCCGTGGAAAACTTGTATTTGGAAAATAGTTTGAGCGCTTCTCCGGGTACTAGCTCTGGTGAAAATCCGTTAACAGCGAGAACGGACGCTCTACTTAGTACAAAGTCTTTTAATTTGGTTAAACCAAAATAAAACATAATGTGGTATATTTAATAAAATGTGAAATGGAGGATGGTGGTTGCAACAGTAATTATTTTGATTACTCAAAATTGTTTTCCAAAGTCGTTGTTCATCTCCGCAGCCATAAGATGAACAAAACGAATACGCTAGCTTTTTATGTGACTATCATGTTTTAACATTAAAAAAAAGGACGGACGGATTCTATTAGTTGAGATTCTCTTGCTTCATGAAACAGTTCGTCATTCGATCGATTTTTAATCAAAAACCTTACCCACATAGCCCATTTCCTTCAAATCGTAATGTCCACTGTAACTGACAGGAACAAACAGATATGGTCATTTAACCGCCAGCCAAAATGGCCATACGTCTCATATGAAAACGTCTGCCGTCATTAAATTATATTTACTGATGCTCCCGCTTTCCACCAAATTTACTGCATTTTGTTATTTTATACCTTATTTTTTGAAAATGTGTACAATATTGAAACAGGGCCGTAAGTGATATACAACCATTGACGTCTTACACAACAGTACTGAACACTATTTTTCTCGATATTTAACGCATTCTGACATCTATACCTTAGTACCTAATTGTGTTATTTATATTGCTTTCAGTTGTGAATTTGTCATTCAGTAGCGTATCAGAAGTATTTTCACCAAATGTTCATTAAAACTCACACACGTTAAAAGTCGTGGAGCCTTAGTATTCGATTTATTTTCACCGTCAGTTCATAAAGATTACCGTGATTAAATCCATTTTAACGTTAGACATGGACCGCTGTGGCTTGTGTCTATTCTATTCATGTACCAATTTTTTGATGCGTTTTTTTTTAATCAGAGTTATATATTTTTTGCACTTAAGTCATTTATTTCTTAAATACTAAACTTATACAACGTCTTCGTCAAACAAGGGTAGAACTTCAATAGAAATAAAATAAGTTATAATGATGACTTGTTCTGGAATAGTCGAGGCAACAGTGAGAATTCTCTTCGTAACTGTGACTTTTGATACTTTATTTTTCGGAATTTCACAACTTGTGTTTTATTATAACATCCTTTATCGACTTATTTCAGTTGTTTTTATAGCCAGTGAAATATTTTTCATAGGCCTCACCGTCGGTGTACTTCCAGGAAAAATTCATGTTTGCAAGTTGAACTGAACGTTTCGCACGTTAACTCCTTTTGAAATTGCACGTAAAATGCATCTAAGCAATTACAATATCTACAGGGTGGCCAATATATAACTGACTGATTTAAATTGCGCGCCATTTTTGATCCACGCATTTCAGCAGGTGGCGCCGTAGTAGTTGTTTGAAGCACAAAAATATCGAAAGAGTTCGTGAAAGTGTAGTGGAGCGCCCTGAGACGTCTACCAGACATCGTTCTCAAGAACTGGGTATTCGTCGCACATCGTTATGCACTATTTTAAAAAAAGACTTGTATTTGCTACCATGCAAAATTCAGTTAACCCAAGAACTACAGCTTAGTGACCATGAAAGTATCCGACAATACAGTGATGCAATTAAAATATTAAGATGAAAAAAATTGACGTATTTTATTTCATTTCACAAATATTCAAGATACAAACAAGTCAGTTACAAATCGGTCACCCTGTACTTTATTGACTGATTCGTGCAAATTGAACAGGAATCGAGAAGTCAAAATCGGACCGCCATGGAGTGCTATGCATACGCTTCCTCCCACAACTCGTCGGTCCCTTACGATCGCTTAAAAAATGGTTGTGAAAACAGCTTACGAGATCTTGAGAAAGATTAATCAAAGGAGAATAAATGACAAAGAAATCGACTTTGGCATATAGAAATTCTTTTAACATTTTGCTTGGCATTTAACGTGTTTTCTAAGCGGACTTGAAGTGTACCTATGAAGCTACATATATCAGATGCATCATTCTGATAGTGTACCAGAACTTTATTAGAAATAACATTCAAAAATGTTGGCTAAAAAATTCCTTTATTCGTTATCGTCTCACGACCTTTGCTCTTGGTTAGAGTATTGTAGGTTTGTCAGGTCTGGATGCCCAGATACCATACAAAGTGGTGATATTGGTGATATTTGGTATTTTGAATGTTGTCAAATAATCCTCTGTCATTTGTTGTCAGGTTTTGATGTGTTGAAGTATTGTGGAAAATAGTAAGTAGCCTTTTTCTATAGCGAACTATCCCAGTTCTGATTTTGCGCGGTAGGTTTTCGTGGTATCAGAACTGCTTTAAGATTTGCTACCGGCAAAATCAAAACCGTTATGGGATAGTTCTCTGTGGAACTTGAATCATGCTAGTGTAACAGCATGCTAGCAAGTACTGTTGTGGTCCGAGTTGACGATTTTATAAAAAAATTAATGTTTCAAACGATCATATTGTAAAATTGAATATTTGGGTCAAGTGAGTTGAAGAAAGCAAATTGATGAAACGGAGCACAGTCAGTCTGTCATTAAGCTATAAACTGATTTTGCTTGCCTTTTTTTATGTTATCAGTCCAACGAATTCGGATAGATTAGGAGCCAAGTCTATCTGTTTACATTGCATTTTTTGTCGCCAAATTTGCTTAGTTTTAGTTGATACTTTTGACTCATTTGTTTGCCAATGCCTACCAAAGTGACATCATTGTATCAACCTAATACCTACCGAAGGAAACATCTACCTTCATTAGGTTCTGCTACTCTTTGCAAACTATGTAAGAAGTACAAGGTCTTGAAATCGTCTAACACCACAATTACCTGCGAACACTCGCACTTTTTAAAAATAACACTAACTAAATATACGAACTTAATAACAGAACTGTCGAAAAATCGACTTATGTCAAGTGCACTTTGATCCTCACTACAGCCTATGAGAATTAGAAGACAAACAAATCCATGACTGGCTCCTTCGATTTAGTCTGAATTCGTTGTAGATTGAAAATCGTAATATTTGTTGCATATACAATACATACTTATTTGCTATTGCTGCTATACGTCAGACGTTATACATTGATAAGCTTGAAAACATCCAAAAGTGTACCTAAACTCAATAGTCTTATTCAGATTCTACAAGGAACTATCACAGGCCCGTTTTAGTCCCGCGCAATTGGTTCATTCATAACCATTCTGAGATGGTTCCGTGTAAAAACCTAAATGAAACTCGTAATCAAAAAAGCATATAATGAAATTGCTTAAATATGTCCCCAAAACATATTTATCATTCGCCTCTAAAAATTATCATTCCTTGTATAGTGATTTAGCAATAAATTAGAATCAACGGAAAATATTCCCCAACGATTTAATTTAGTCAGCCGTATTGTCCAAGACAGGGGCATATAAAAAAATTAAATTTGTGTAATTTCTAAATGCCGTACTGTAATGAAGTTTGAAAAGGAATTATTGCGAGTAAATCTTTGTAGAATTGGTTGCTTGTCGAAAAAGATGGTGTATGTTCAAACTGAACTTTTAGTTTCAAAAGCTATAACTATAATTAAAGCGATATTCAGTAGTAGCTAATGGAAAAGAAAAGCATTTATCACTCGTTCGTAATTATAACTTTGTTGTAAGAGTGTGAGATTTTAAAAGTTTTAAACAATTACTAATTACAAACGTTAGAGTTATCTATTTGAATTTGATTTGTTAAAATTATTAGTGATATGGAAGGTATGAAAAGAAGATTGTCATGAACCAAATTCACGTAACATTTTTTTTAACATTTTGTTCACTTATCAGTAGTTTGAATTTCTTTTTATTAATGGTGGGGTGCCGATTCCTGGGCCAAACCCTTTTTAATGATTTTCTTTTAGCAAATTTCATAGTTTATTTATTGATTATATAATTTCACACGTATTATATCTTTCTTTCTCAGCGACTCAGTATTGTGTTGAAATCTTTTGGACAATAATGTTGTAGTATTACTAACGACTATCTCAGAAATTTCCTCATAAAATATCGTTGGCTTCACGTTGGGCGCCACGAAATTCGCCACATTTAAAAAAAATAGTAAATTTCGTGGCGCAGAACGCGGGGCCAACGATGTCTTATGAGGAAATTTCTGAGATAGTCGTTAGTAATACTATAACAGTAGTGTCCAAAAGATATCAACACAATACTAAATCGCTGAGAAAGAAAGATATAATACGTATGAAATTATATAATTAATAAATAAACTATGAAATTTGATAAAAGAAAATCATTAAAAAGGGTTTGGCCCAGGAATCGGCACCCTACCATTAATAAATAGAAATTCAAAATACTGATTAGTGATCAAAATAGTAAAAAAAAGGTTACGTGTTGTTGGCACGTGACAAGATGTGATTTAGCTAATACTGGGTATTGCAATTAAAAATGTATCTTGTTCAGTATAATTAAGATTATTGTGTATTAGGCATTATTTATTATGAAACATATTATGGAGCTGCATAGCATATAGAGTGACAAAAATTGTATAGTCGTACTTTATATTTATATTAGAGATATAATATTGAAGAAAACGAACATTGAATACATATGGTTTTATTCTACTTAACTTCACCAACCAAACCTTAGTACACTTGAGAAAAAAATAGATTTGTGGAACCAGAGGGTGTATGAATGTTGCAAATACCTTTAGTTTTCAATAATACGGAGACCTTTTGGTTGGAAAAGTTCGTTGGAACAAACAACACGAGAGTCCAACAAGACTTATTATTTTTGTGTAAAATGGTATAGAATTTGTTGCAGCACTTATCCCTGCCCAATGGCCACTACTTATTTTCCCAACTTTCCCAATGTTCTCCAGAAAGTGAAACCCCCAAAGGAACTTAGAGGAAATTCATTTTTCATATAGTTTTTTTTTTGTATTTGCGTACATTGGAAATGTTAAAAGATCTGTTGGAAGTTCAAAACTGGTGCATTGGACAAACATGCAGCTTGCATCTAAACTCTTTACATGATCTTTTTTATAGCCGTTTTTCAAGGATATCTTCTAGATGTAAACTAGCTTATAGGGTACTATAAAAGTTTTGCAATATGGCTTAGCAAACGGACGCAGGAGGCTGCATATTACTGAATGTTGAGACATGCTCTGGGGAGGAAAGTGCTTGATGAAGACCGGAGAGTGACATACCAATAGTTAGAGGAGACTTTATGCCTTCATGCACCAGCAATTCGTTCAATTATGCACGACCATTTACACGTAAGGAAACTTTGTTCTCTCTGGGTACAGCATAGTCGGAAGAGCCTAAGACTCGTCGTACGACTTAGTGCGAAAGATGTTGAAAATGTTTGATAAGGTGGCAATCTCGTTATGTGAACAGCAACCAAGGCTCAAAACGAAGTTTGGGTATATGAAGATGAGGCAACATCCGTAGCTGTCAGAGAATCCCGATCTGTTTTTCATATCGTGCGGGATTGTGGAGTGTGTCGTTTTGGACACACAGAAGACAGTCACAGCTAAGTGGTACACGGAAAAGTGACTGCCTAAAGTCATAGAGTCTATGAAAAACCTGCGGCTAAAGTCAAGAATGGAAACTTGGTACCTCCACCATGACAATGCTCCACCTCACCACACCAAAGCCTGCAGCAAGTGTATTGAATGTGGCGGAAATTACTTTGAACGAAGGCTATAAATAAAGCTGTACTGCAATACTTTTATAGTACTATTTGTATTCCACCCAGATATCTGGTATGACACCCATTCGGACTTTTGATTTCTCAGTGCTGACAACTGTGTACCACATCTTAGAATTATCACTTATTCCGAAGTGCAAAGCTAATTTTTCAAAATAAAATTGTTGATGGGTGAAGAGTATTTTACTTTTTCGATTCCATAAAACTTTTTCCGGTTCTGAAGCTGATATGCCTTCTACCGACGGCTTTACCTTTCTTGTCTTTAGCTTCTTTAGGTTGCTGTGCTGCTGGCTGTATAACAGGCTTTTCTTTAGCAGCCAAGCTGGGCTGTGTCAGAAAAATACTGGGATCTATCGTATTAGTCACGTTTCCTAAGTTGTAGGTATTAACCTCTATCAAATTTCTGTCTTCATAAAGTACTCCAGGAGCGAGAAGCAAGAATATTTCTCTTGCCCAATCTGATAGTCCTTCTCTTGTAACAATATACTGCCAGCAAGGGATTCCCAGGTGTGCAATGCACATTCTGAAGTAGGTTGTAAAGTCTTCTGCTAAATAGCTGAAAGCCATTGATGAACTGTAGAGCCATACAGTTGGGTTTGAGTAATTGTTTAAATATACGATTACAACTTTCGCGTGTTCATCAATTATATGTAGATCAAACACTTTACTGTCTCTTGATAAGCTTAATTTATATGTGTTTCCAAAAGGTTCTATCATAGCCGTGTTTTTTGTTTCATATCCATATATCCTGACCAGATCACTGAGAGGATTTATTTCAATTCTGCCTTGGTGCTTAATCCTGGCACCCTCGTCAGCGTTGTAATCATAACTGAAATCATAGGTGTATAGAAATCCATTGGTTGATGAGTAGAAACAGCGAAGGTCTTCGGACAGTATCGTGCTGTTATTATTTTCCCACTGGCGAATATCTGATTGTCGAACACCGTTCAGTCGAGTCAGGTTCAGGTTTGATACGAAGGGAGACTTTTCCAATAATTTTGGAAGACCCAGGAGCAGGTTTTCGTAGAACGAATCTTCCGAAACTTTGTCGACGATAAACCCCATTTTTCTGTAACAGGAATGAAGAATACTACTGAATATTGTTTCTACATTGACTGTACCTCATTTCTTGTTGTATTCTATATTCGAAATTTTGTCACACAGTGAAGTTTATTTAAATTCCCGGGATAGTTGTGGACATTTAAGTTGACAAGTATGACGTATACAGAGTAGGTCTAATAAATGGTAGTTCAAACGAACACAGTAGGTTGGTAGTAGGCGACAAATGGACACGTTTCTTGGGTAGCTCTTTGATGAGATGTTGTAGCCCAGTCCAATTAGACAAAACGTGCAATTGAGTGTTGATAGCGCACGTGCCGTGTTATATGATTTATATATGATTTTTTGATATGCGCGCAGATTTTTGAACTCTTGGAGTGGAATCACACATAATGCAATTATAAGTTTATTATATTTTTATAAGTTGACCAATTTTTGGGAACAATAGAGAAGCGTTAGATTATTTTGTTCACACAATAATTTAATTATCATCAATTATAGCCATTGTTTTTTAAAACCAAGCTATTTTCATAACCTGGGACAACGTGGAAACAATATGTAGGTAAGAATAATAGTTTTTAAATAGTATATATTTTTAGTATTCAAAAAAATTATGAATTAAAAAGACATTTTTTCTACAACTGTTTGTGGCTCACTTCTTACCTCGCGCGTCACAGGCGAGGAAGTATTTTGTAATCGCTAAAAATTTCGAAAATGAGATACATATGTGTTTTGGATGTTATATATGGCATGTAGGTACATCAAAAAAACCATTTCATCTATTAGTAGATATATCATACATCATATATTTCTGCATACTTTTGCCCTTAAAACTTGGGAGAAATACTTTCAAGTGAAATTTGCGTGCGCTACGAATTTATACACTTGTGCACAAAATAATGTCTGGTGCACACTGGTATAGCACGGCTGACACATTGCTCAATGGTTGATACTTTCGGTGGGGCTGGAAAGAAATTTCTAGATCGCAGCGCTATCAAATGGGTGTTTACTGTCTACTAATTGTATGGGTCTGTTCGGCTTAACATAATCCTTTTTGAACTGATAACAGCGTTGCGTGGGAAGTGCAGAGTCAACCTACTTGACACAATTTTTTCAACTTAGTGATAACCCGTGTGCACCCAACAAAGGTTCTGAATCTAGGCCCTAGTCCTGGACATCTACACTATTATACACTTTTGTTTATGGACATTTTTATCTCAGATATCCCCGACAAAATAAGTAATACCTAAATAACAATAGTATTGTACTCATAAGAAAAAAATACTTACCACCGAAAAGTATATTTCCTTGCTTTCCCAGATAATTACGATGTCTGTATTGCCGCGCCTAGAATATCGACCAAATACTCGTATTCATGAAAACACCACAGTTGCTATGCATGTAGATATAAAATGAAATGTATATTTGTGTATTCAGCTTGATAATGAAGTCGTATACCTCATATCGATACCCGGTGCGAAATATGATGAAAGGCTTGCTCATTCATTGCCTTTCCATTCATTTCTCGCATTTCTTGTCATTCATGTGGAGGATATGTGTTTATAATAACGTAGGTTGGATATAAGAACCGGTAGGGAGTCACATTGCAAGATGGAAGACACGCTGCTATCCGCGGAATGATGATCGGGATTCGATTTACACCGATAAAATTGATATGTTTCTTCAGCTTGTGTTCCAAAAACATGTTGGTTGAAAACCATGCCTTTACTCCCTTAAGGTGGGCCTGGATAGGTATCTTTCATTTTCAGGAGCACAGCACCATATACGAGGTCTGTAAATTAAGTGAAGAGATTCGCGACGTAGCGTTCAATATGGCAACATCGGCAGCACCAGGCTTTAAGAGGAGATAGGGGAACATGTGATCTACCTTCAGTACAAATTTTTTACTCGGTCGTCATTCGGTTGTCCAGAAATTGAAAAATCACCTCGAGGGAACTGATTTATTTAGGACAGTCGAACACGTTCCAGAGGCTGTAACTGACCAGCTGATGGATATTCCAGTATTGGAGTTCCAGCACTGCTATGAGGAGTGGAAGAAACGTCTCCAGCGCCTGTGTGGCTTCAGAAGGAAGTCATTTTAAGGGTGACAATTGAAAACTGTAATTATATTGCCGATGGTACTCAAACTCGCTCAGCTACGCCCTGTCAGAATACCTCCGCTCATCGCTGGTCAGCCCCGTTTAAACCGCTCAGGTCGTATTCGGGCAAGCTCGAGCTGCATTTGCGGTCCTGTTCATGATGTTCCATTTTTGGTTACGACCAGATAGCGGTTGTCAGCGAATGCGGAATTAAGACGGGATAATAATCCTTCCACATAATTATAAATCGGTTATAAATTAGTTGCAAGTGTAATAAATGAGTTTAGTAACAATAAATTAGACTTTGAACAGTTAAACGGTGTTTTCGTTATAATATGAACAAAACATTTCGCGGCTCAAACTACCTAGTGGTGTAGAAACAGGGATATTTTGACCCCTGCATAAAAAAAAAGAAAAATATTTTCTACGCTGATCTCTTGATGCTAGAAGATAGTTGTAAATTTAAGAAAAAAGCCTGATTATAACCAGGTCAATACCACTTCAAAGCTGGTATAGTCATTATTCTCTTCTTCACAGGAAATTCAGTATTGACCCTCGTATACTCTTGAGTTGCAAATAACATAATAATAAGTACTAAACTTATAATAAAATATTTACTAATAACGTTGCATATAAATAAAGCTTTCTTTTCATTCATAAAATTAATAACAGATAACTAGATTCCATTGAGGAATAGCGTGTGTAATGAAGAATTTTGTCCGCATCTTAATTCTCATATTTGTTTTGATAGTAGATGCTGAACTCTCTTCCTTCGTACGAATATATAATAAGGATTTAACTAAAAGCTGTGATGGGGATTCTGGGCTACACCTTGGACAACACCGCTGGCGCATTGGCACTGCACCCAGACGAACTTGTAGACTAGCCCCGTTCGGAAGCAATCAATAAACAAAGTGGCGCTAAAATTCAAACATGGCAGCCAACAAGTCGGCGCGCCAGTGCCGGCGCACGCGCAGTTGCCATATGTCAGTGTAACAGTATTTTAGTTCAATGGTGTTTCCCGTGTTGATAAGTTGGATTTGATGTTGTGCAAAAATGGTGTGGGCCACCAACAAATGGACCTCGAGCAGTAGGATATTTCAAGAGACGAACCATGACCGAGTCAAATGAAGAGTAAGTACTTTTTAACCCCTACGATACACCCCCATCGGGGTGACAGCAGTCGGCCATGATTTTCTTTACACAGTTTACCCACTGCTGGTTTTTGAAAAGGAAATGCCTATAATTACATCTTAACAACATCTAATTAACTAATTGCTGCTGTTTTAATGGATCTTCACTATCAAGCTGGCCTTCGTTGTATCATTTCTGTCATAAACATGATCAAGTATCATTCATTGTGGACTAATCAATGGTTCTATTTTCCCATTCATAATACTGGCTCATGAATGTTTCTCGTTTTATTTGGAGTAACCGGTGTTACACGGTTAATGTTTATCAAACGCCGATGATTTGTATACAAATGTACTTGTGAATAATGTACCTTTATTTCTGACCACGTAAATCGCCATACCTGTGAAGGTAGGTTGGGTCCAGCTCTATTTTTCGACGTTCATTTGTTATGACTTACTTCCCTTGTTTGTGTTTTTAATATCTAAGCTGAACATCTGGCCGACCGGAAGATGTTATTAAAGCTATTTTAATCCTTCGAAATGAGTATTTTCAGAATTTGCTCTATATAACCATTAGCATTTTGTTATGGGTGTATATGAATGAATATATGAATAGGACCTACCTGCCTAACCCTGTTGAGCATTGGGTGTGATCTTGACAAGAGACATAATAGAGAATCTGTTGGATTAAGCAACAGATACAACTGTATGCAAATACTTACAATTATTACGAAATCTCTAAATTAATTAATGATTATTTATAAATTATTAGATATATTAGATTGTACCAACTTCCAAAATACCAAATGTAATGTAACAATTGATAGAGATCATTATTGCTTTAATATGAACATTATTGTTGTTATTTATTATTGTTCTCCTTTAACTCCTAGATGGGTTGGTTTGTGTATATGTTTCAACTGTTTTAAGTTGTCATTTGATCAGAAGTTGAGGTGTAATATATGTGCACCTTAATAGAGTTTATAGCAAAATATGTTTATTACAGACTTGAGTGAATTTAATAATATTAGTGAATTAACATTCATAAGACAACACTGGTGTGGCAGTGCTCTAGTGTTTACTGTCATTGTTTACTTGATTTAAGTGACTGAAATGATGTTCTTAAGCACTCTCCTTGATAAAGTGTAGTACCTATGAAGTGACTACATAGATTTCAAATTGACTTGGAAGTTGCTAATCATTTATTATTTATTCCCCTATATTAAGATCAAGTATCTTGGTTATTGCCAAATTCATGATTGTCATGGATGGAAATAAAAATAAGGATCATTGTATAGCAACAGCAATATCCAAAGCATCACAGCAAGTGGTTCCGATTGAAAATTAAATAAATGGCTGCAATCCACTATTAAAAACATGTCTACCTACCCAACACAAGTTCTTATTCCAAGACTGATGGAACTGACATTATTCTTAACAAAGAACTAATGAATTTAGTGAGCTAGTGGTATTTATATTATGTTTAAATTTTCTTTTTTCATACTTTAAATGTCAAAATAAAAATATATCTGAATGTGTCAAATATCTATCACATATCTTTTGACATAGTGAATATCAAAACAAAATAAGTTATTTTTCTTAATAATGTATATTCACTCAATAAATTTTTATATGCTCGTATTCTTGGTTGCATTGCAAACACAAGTAAAATTTAATTCTTTCAACATTTTTCTCCAGTTTGCCAGATATTGTTAATATTTGAAATATATAACATCAGGTTTTGTGAAAAATGGATAATTTGCGTAACTTTCAAGAAAAAACTTACACAAAGACAATTTAATGCTAGACTCTTACTAGTAGCAAATTAAAAAGTTAGTAATAACAATAGACTTTTATTACATTTCTCTTGCCTTCCATCTTAGTCATAAGCTCAAGTTTAAGCTGATTTTGAAAAATCATCATTAAATACTGCATTCTCATTTAAAATTTTTCCTCAAGAATATGTGTTTCTCATTGGTCATTAGAGTATTTTTATCTCTTTTAATGCAATGCAGCATTGCTATAATTCTTGCTGGTTACGCTGTTATGAGAAAGTGAATCATAGTCAGTGGGTACAAAAGAAAAATGAGAGTTGCTCGCTGCATTGTTAATATGTTTGCCATTACAGTTTGTGGGAAATGGTTATTGTTTCAATTTTAAGTAACTATTAACCTAATTTTATTGTTTTCTTCATCGACACAGATGTGAAAATGGCGTCAAGTTGATTTAGTAGACAGTGCAATGAAGGAATTGTTCAAATATGTCTTAAACTCCAATAGAAGTTATTAACAAAATCTATCAAAAACACAATTTTATTTGTGGAAAGCTGGATGGATGGCAAAGTGCGGGAAATTGGAAATGTTTTAAAGGAATCTTAGGGGAAACAAAACTTGCTATGTCCATAGGCATATCCATCCAGTCGAATATTGGGTTCACACTTTTTTTATAGTTCAATCCAGAATCATTTAGTTCAGATTGACAATTCAGCATTTTCTTGGAGAAGGCAGTTCTAAGATGAAAAATGACTGTTATCTCACGAATAAATATACTATTTTTATTGGCATGTTTGCACCTATGAAAACCTTTTTTTAAAATTACTATGTGAAATACTGTTGTGGTAGACGAAATTTCTGCAAAATAACATTAACCATCTTCCATCTATGGTTTAATTTATTGACAATATTACGGAAGATGGATCCCTGCTGAACCCGTGTTTTTAGATGTCACATTATTAAGTGGTTAGAATTTTTATTACCTAATGCTCAAGGAATATGGTAATGCATTTTTATATGAAAAAATTGTGTATGTCGATATTCCGCGTAACAAACGGTTTGCGCCACCGATTGCACTCAAACTCGCTCAGCTACGCGCTGCCAGGATACCTCCTCTCATCGCTGGTCAGCCCCGATTAAATCGCTCATATTCGGACAAGCCTGAGCTGCATTTGGTTCCGAAGATTTGCTAGTATTTGTGGACGATGAGGTTTTTCTCCGGTCATATCCCATACACGTGGAATTAGTAAAACATCATCTGCAAACAGCGTTATTGGGGGTAGTTCTTTATAGCTTCAGAAATATGGGGCCGGGTATTATCTCGTAGAGCTGTTAAGCGCTTAGAGAAATATTAAAGAATAGGGTTCCAGGATTAAATCGATATAAATACCATTTCGCAGACATACATGGAAATTGTAGGTGACTTAGCACCATGTGGTAATAGCTATTATAGTGTACGTGACGTTCAACCGAATACTCACGTCTTTCTCTACAGCGCCTTCCGACTTGTATCCGTCCATTATGCATTCCTAAACAGAACCGAGACTCATCACTAAAAACAATGTTAGACTATTCATCATCCCAATTTTCTCGGTCTCGCTTTTGTACAGGAATGTTCG